CATTTCTGAAGAAGGGTCTAGACCCGAAACGTCAGCTTTCCTGCTCCTCTGATGCTGCTTGGCCTGCTGTGTTCATCCAGCTCTACACCTTGTTGTCTAATATACAAAGGCACCCTTGTTGCCTGCTGCACCTCAGATATGCTGGCAAATAGGGCAGGATCGTCGTGAATAGAGAGAGCAGAAGAGTGATGTAATGGAGCAGCAGCATGGTAGTCCATTGGTACCAACTTTGAAGAAACATTTAGCATTGACAGCAACCTGTATGTATGTAGCTGTTTGTATGCAACTCTCCCAACCTATATTCTGCAGACCAGTCAGTTGCCTGACATGGATGCCTCAAGCACTGACCTTCTGGCCCTCGGGCACTATCTGGAAACAACAGTGAAAATAATTTCTAAAAAGTTATCGCAAATCAATGAGTAGGAAAATTGGGCAATTTCTATAATTTCGGCTGACACAGAACAGATTTAGAGCCAGGTTTTAAGTTGCAAAAATGTAGTCTTATGTTTATTAAGACTTACCAGAAAGACAACTCTGTTCTTACTCAATTGGAGAAAAGGAAATTGTGTTTCAGCTAGCTTGTATTCTTTTTTAATGAGCCAAAACATTTGTGTTAACTTTAAAAAGGCTTTAAGTACAGTGATGCTTTTGGATCCATGTAACAACTGAATACTATGTTAATGCATGATGCGCTATCATTGTATTCCATTTTCAGCTTGCAATCAAACAGTTTGTGAGACTTTTGCTCCTCAGTGTACTTATGGAGAAAGGCTCATCACCCTTTACAAACCAGACTTCTGCTGTCCTGATTACTTTTGTGGTAGGTATATGTTAATGCAAAAAAATACAGCCTGAAGTATAATCTTGAGTGAGATCATGGAAATTCACAGGGGAAAAATGAAACTTGCACTACGCAACACTTTTAATAAACAGAGAATATCTCAAAGATATTTAGAAGTGTTGAAGTTTAGTTGCTGTTTAATGTTAATAATTTGGAAGCCAGTTTTTCTAAAAGAAACCTTGCACCTGCAACCGTATGATGCTATCAAGCTAAACTACATTTCTGATGTTGATTGAAGGAATAATACTGGAGTGGGATTTTAGCCCAAAAACTTCTGTCTCAGCAAAACACAAGTGCTCCTGTTGTGGTCCCCATGTGCGCTATTAACTTTTAAAAAAGATATAAATTTCCCAGCAACTGACTAAGAGAATCACATGAGATTTCACATTTGAGACATTTACTGTGACAAAGAAACTAAAATTAACATAAAGAAAACATTTCTTAATAGACAATTCATTTCTAAAACTATTAAGAAGTTACTTCCCCACTAACTAGTTAACACAACTGAAAATACCTTATGACCTAATTACACATTAAACTACACCATCAGCAGAGGGATAGACTTATCAATGAATTCCCATATTCTTACCAGCTGTTCAGTGGGCTCCCTTCACTCGACCACATGTGGGCTAGTTTTCCAGAGGCTTTTGGAAATCCCTTCACTCAATTTTCTGACTATGCTCAATTGACTTCCAACCATAAGACTCTTTTCAGTGATTCCTTGTTCCTTAAATCTACACAAGTCCCATCTCTTTGAATGGAAAAGCACTTCTCCTTGACATACTATTCGATGACTAACATAAAATGGTCCTTTTCTCTGCTTTGCACAACAGCTGTTGCTTCACCCAATACTGTCTGTCTATCTTAGAGTCTGTGTCCAGCAAGACCAGTTTATCAGTCTTTTGTGTTAAGGTTTGGAAATTGCCAGATGATTTTCTATATATTTTGGTCCAGTTCTCTTTGGCAACCAAATCAGATGGGTCTCCCTCTGGGCAAAATTAGTATGATCACACCATCCTTCTTTTAGAGCATTCTGTACTACCTTAAATTAAGAGATTCTGGAACGTAACTGTCATTTAGATCACTCATTCACGTTGCTATAGATTGAGAGAGTACATGGATAGCATGTTTTTTTGTTTAGTTTTGTTTTTGTAGAGTCACTGGGAATGAATTACTTTTATTTAGTCATGGGATGTGAGGATCACTGGCGAAGCCAGCATTTGTTGCCAATCCATAATTATCCTTGAACTGATTGGCTTGCCATGTCATTTCGCAGAGTTCCAGCTTCAAATTCAAGTATGCATTCAGATAGAGTGAGGAATAGGCATCAGGTGGTCACAGACAGGGCTAGTGATAATAAGCAAATATAAACAACCTATACCATCTCCAAGAAAAACTGGAGAAAGTATATAGTGAAGGACGGCTGGTAGATAACCCCAAGATATACAGTGTTCAAGTTGGGGCGATGCATGAGATGTAAAACATAATAAAAAAAGTTACATTTTAAATTTTGAGTAAATTTACAATATATACTTTCAAACATTTCAAACAAACATTTAAACTTTAATGCGTGAAATGTATTTACTGCTTGGTTGACAGACTGTTTGTCTTCTGCAGAATGTGATCCAAGAAAGTGCGAGTCTGACATTCCAACTTGTCGAGAGGACCAAACTTTAATTGCTACTCGTGCCGATGGAAGTTGTTGCTTAGCATACATCTGTAGTAAGTTGCACAATATATGTATTTGATTCAAAATGACTTGTATTTGTTTATTAATTATAATTATAATCCAATCAGTTTTGCATCATTTACAGTAATACATACTTTATCTTAAATAAGTTCTGTTTTTGTCAGGAACCAAACTTGATTTTAAAATACTTAATGGAAGGCTACAGACAGATCCAAATTGTAAGGAGTTAAAAGTTTGCTTCGACTAATTCCTTTCTATTCCCATTTAACATTTTATCAGTTTTCATTCACAGTTGTACACAGAGCTTTCAAAATAATATTAACATTTTTTGTGCTATTTTAAATTTTGTTGGAACTTGTGCAAATGTAAGAAGGGCCCAAATTTTGTGGTCAGCATTGTAGTAATTTAAATCAAGCTGATCTCCAGGAATAGAGTGGCATCGGTGTCAGCCAGCAGGATAAACAGCCAACCATATCAATATATTCTCACAGGCAATAAGGAATTTAAAACTCCAGAATCTCATTAATTTCAAATTTAAATTTCAGATAGCAAAATTAATTACTATCATTGCATTAAAATAGACATTAAAACATAGCCGAAACTGAAAATAAAAAGAAAACATGCAGCATTACTTTTTAATCCTGGCAAAATTTGACATTTTATGAATTTAGCTTTATGTTAACAGCTTTTTTTTAGGGCTAATGAGAGCAAAATAAGAGTAATGATAACTTAATGTGTCGTTTTAAAATGTTTTGAAAGGCTATACCAGCAAGACTAACAGTGTAAATGGAATAAAACAAAGAACTGCGGATGTTGCAGATCTGAAACAAAAACCAATGTTGAATCCTAAAGGCTGCAGGGTCCACAAATGAAAGATGGGATGCTGTTCTTTGAGCTTGTGCTGGGGCTCACTGGAATACTACAGCAGGCCTGAGACAGAAGTGTTGGTATGGAACATGCTGATGTATTGAACTGACAGGCCATTGGAAGCTCGGGGTAATTTTTCTGAACAGAATGTAGGTGTTAAGCATTCACCCATTGTGAGCAGCAAATACTGTACACTAGATTCAGTGAAGTCCCCTAAATCACTGCTTCACCTGAAAGGCATGTGTGGGGCCTTGGATAGTGAGGAGTGAGAGATAAACAAGCAGTGTTACACCTTCTGTGATTGCATGGGAAGGTGCTGTGGTGAAGTGTTGTGAGTAGGAGTCGACCAGGGTGTCCTGGATGGAATGGTCCCTGCGGAATGCTGATAAAGGAGGGGAGGGAAATATATTTGTGGTTGTGGCATCTCACTGGACGTGAGTATGAGGCAAGTTCTTGTAAATTTGAACATCTCCTATAAAGCTTCAGTATAAAAATACCACACTGCTAGATGTCTGAACTGAAACTTCTAATTGATCCTTAGAAATAATGTAGATACTTGCATAAGCATGATGGTAACATCTTATTTCCCTACAATTAGTGTGTGGTGCTTGTGCTGACAAAATTCCCACCTGCCAGAAAGGAGAAATCCTTATCGTAAACAACAATACCACTGAGATGTGTTGCCCAGCCTACCAATGTGGTAAGAATAATGTTTTACTCTGTAAGAAAAACATGTAACAGTTATAGCTTGTGAATGCCGAAGTGGTGATAGAGAGAAATCAAGCTGTAATCTGACATCAGAATCCAAGAAGTGTGAAGCTGATAGGATTTTATCTCAGCAGGTATTTTAGAGACCGGTTTTACACCACTACACAGGTGCACTGAACTGAGATGTGCTTCATGTAACCCCATCATTACTTTGAGATTCAGGTTATTTGCATTGACCTGCTGTTTGGTAGGCTGAGCATCCAGAATCCTGAAAGAAAAGCTCATTCTGCTACAAACATAAGGGGCATGCAGCGATGATGATAATTGCTGACTGTAGAGCCTTACAACTACTCTGCAAAACAGCAGCCAGAAGATCACAACACCTCATTTGTAACGGTGCTAGTATTAAACTCAAGTGTGCCTTGGTCAGAATGTGCATGTTCACTTTGAGTGACTTTCATGACTTAGACTGTTGGAGCCCCATCATCAAGTGAGGCCTCAGGAGATTATCTTTGTTACCTGTCAGTAAAACAGGCACTGAACTGTGAGGGGGAAAAAAAATACTAAGCATTTTAGATGTTTTATGCGTTTGTTGCTTTCTCAGACTCAGAGCTGGGCACAATCCATATGGTCCAATAACATTTGCGATCTGTTCTCAGCTCCCTTGTGTTTAATTACAATGCCTGCATCTAGTCCGCAGGCTTTTCACAATCCCAATTAAAAGTTTGGTTTAGAGACAGACTTTGAAGGAGAGTTTGAAAGGAAGAGAAGGCAAAAGAGAGTGTGAGGAAGGTAGAAATGGAATGCCAGATTGCACAGTTTTGACACTTGAAGACACAGCAGCCCACGGTGGGCTGAAGGATGTTTTTGGGGTGTAGGGGAGGGTGGTGGATTTGTGGGGAGAAAGCAGAGTGGCTACAAGGTGAAAATCATAGTAATGGAGAGGCTAATGTGGTTTAAAAGCTGCAGGAGGTTTCAGAGTAAACAAACAAGTGGATAAGTATGTGGGCATGTGTAAGAGAATGGTATGGAGTTGGCAGTCAATGTGAGTCAAAGAAAACAGGGTGATAGGTGACCAAGATTGGATGCTGGCAGCAAATCTTTGAACGAGCTGAAATGTGCAGGGTCTGGAGGTTTGGCTGCCTTTTATTGGATATCTACTGAGGGGCAAGTTGTTCTGGGGAGATTGCACGGCAAGAGGACAGAAATCAGATGCAAGAGATGCCATAGAGGCAGGATGGGAAATTAATGAGGTGACTTTAGTTAGATATAGTGAAAGAACTCTCAGGCTTTGGGACAACAAGCTCTTCAAAAACCTTGATACAATTTGGACTTAGATTTTTAAAAAAATGTAAGCTTCAACTCGATGATGCAATGATTCCAGTCTTGAACCATAACCTGGATCAATTCATGATCGTCTGAGCTCTTTTTTTCGTTTCTAATGATTTCTGTTCTGTTTCTCTTTAGTTTGTGAAACCAAACGTTGTCCAAAATTTCAGTGTCCTTCAGGAATGAAAGTACTTGAGGCCTGGAGTCCAGATCAGTGTTGCCCATTTCATTCCTGTGGTACGATGTCAATTTTAGATTTAAAAGCACTTCAACAAATTGCCAGATTCAGTGACTAAAGTACCTTGTTTGTAATTATTGTTTTTTTTCAGAATGTGCTTGTGATACAGTTCCTAAACCTCAGTGCAAACCGGTAAATAACACACTCCCATCTTTCGATTATATTTGCTGCTTTTGTCTGTTTTTTTAATAACAATTCAATCATTTGGCTTGCAGGGAGAAGTTTTAGTTACAGAACAGCAACATGGAAATATCACAGCTGATCTATGTGGATGTCTGCATTACAAATGTGGTAAGCGCAATTTTCCCACAGTACAATTATTCCATGGTCTAATTGCAAGCAAGAAATTTTCACCAAACAGTTGAGAATTATATGAGAATCCGAAAATGTCATTTTATTCCAAGTAAATCGTGAACTATTGAAGCAATTGGAAAGATTTAGGATTTGGCTAATGGATGACTTTTCTTATTATAATACATTTAAAAATGAAGAAATGTTCCATTGCAGGCAATGTTATAGGTGATGATAGGTGCCTGTTATGAGCTGGCATCTGTGACTCACTTAGTCACACTTTCTGCACATGAACTTCAAAGTTGTTTATTCAAGCCCCATTTTTGAGTCTTAAATACAAAATATGTGCAGACACTCCAGTGCAGTGCCATATGAGTGCTGTCTTTCAGATGAGATGTTAATCCAAGGTCTTGTCTGCTCTTTAAGGTAGACGTAAATGAGCTGATACATTTTGAACAAGATCAAGGAGTTATGCATTGCGGCCTGATCAATATTAGCCCTCAATCAATAAGACCAAAATAGATTATCTGGTTATTAGCATATTGGTGTTGTGGGACCTTGCTCCGTACATGTTGGCTGCCACACAGCCTGCATTATAACAGAGACCACACTTCAAAACTATTTCACAGCTGCAAAGCACTTTGGGCCATACTTCAGATTGTGAAAAGCAGTACATAAATGAAGGGTCTAGGCCCAAAACGTCAGCCTTCCTGCTCCTATGATGCTGCTTGGCCTGCTGTGTTCATCCAGCTCTACACCTTGTTATATCACATAAATGGAAGTACTGTTTCATAATAAATCATCCTGTAGGGAAGGGTAATCATAAAAATGGGAAGAATTTTGAATTCAGTTCGAGAATAAAAAACTTAGGTCAGAATATAGTCTCTTAATCTGAAAGACAATTACAAAGGAATGAACATGATTAACTAAAGTGAACTTGGAAAATAGACTAAGAGGCAAGACAGTTAATGAATGTTTAAGGAGCTATTTCGTAATTCTCAACAAATATGTATTGTATTACGACTGAATCTCTCTCCAGGTTGTTCTGAAGTGATAATGAAAAGCATACAAAAGATATGCATGGAACAAAATGTTTCTTTTTTAATTCCTTTCAAATATGTTAGCCATTGTCAAGACTTGTTTTCTTTACTCTTCTTGCTTCTGTCACTAAAATGCAGAACAGTAAATAAGAGTGACTAAGCTTCTTGACTTTCCTTTACATGAATGGTAGCTTCTGAGTGTCTGTATCTGGAGAAGTATTGAAAATTTCAACTCACTTCTAAGGATTTCTAAGTGCTGTATAATAAAGTGCTTTGTTATATTGCCACGTAATTTTTGTCAGAAACATTCCTACTTCAGTGATTGAATGCATTTACATTATAAGCAAGAGTAATTGAACAGATAGGATGCCATTTTGTACATTATTTCATACAAAGCAATTTCCAACCTTAATGCAAGTTCAAAGAATGAACCAGTTGCAATTTGAAAGGAATTTTTTTCTAGGCCTTATATTGATCATTTCTATTGTACATTTCTTCTGAAAAGTGAATAACTAATGATTTCTTTATTAACATGCATTTTCTGAACATAAGAAAAAAACGTTGCAGTCCATATTATGACGATTATGTTACATCGTGCATGCTCTCTAATTGAAGGCAACAAGGTTAAAAATATGACATTTTTTTGTTTTATCACAGTAAATGACCATGTCTGTGCTGATGGAGAAAGGGGTGTACTATACCCTGGACAGACTATTATGGAGCATACAGCAGATGGAGTGTGCTACGCCACACAATGTACCCATAATCTGGACAACAACACTGGCTTCTACCAACTCCTTGTTAGAATGGTCAACTGCTCAGCTCAATGTGAAATGGTGATTATACATAGAATAGCTATGCTGCAACTCTACTTATCTTTGTTTCAGTTTTTGTTAATGTTGTTAAAGTGGTTATTGGAAGGCATATATAAAAAAAAGGAAATCTGTAGTAAAGGTTGCATTAAAAGCATAAAAGCTCTTAGTTAAGCCAACATTTATTCCAACATCTGATCCAGCGAAGTCTTAGTGGAAGGATAGATTTCATTTAGTACTTTAAATTATAAGCTACTAAATTAATGACAGTACATTGTTCTTCTAAGTTATCAACTGATCTGTGTACATCAGTGATTGAAATTTAAGCAATATTCCTTACATTTGTGGATGTAATTCATAAAAAAAGTTGATCAATACCATGAAGAAGTAATCAATATTGACTACATTTTTCTTGGTACTTGTTACACTATTAACTCACAAAACATAAGCAATGCACAAACATTTTATCTACTAGTTTATACAAAATTATTATTTTTGGAAGGAGTGGCATCTGTCTTTCTTCTAAGTCATCTGCGTAAAATTCCCACACAGGTAGAACACAGGGCATGTAACAATGGAACTAAGAGAAATTAAGAGTAAGAACTCACTATTAGAAAAACAGAAAATACAAGAAATACTCAACTTGACATCATCCGTAGAGAGGTAATAGAGTTACCAATCCAGGTCAATGACTTTTCATTATAGACCTGAATTTTTTTTTCTCTCGGCATAGATACTATTGAGTATTTCCATCCTTTTCTGTTTTTATTGCAGATTTCTAGCACCTACGGAATTTTGCTTTGCTGTAGAAACTTGCTGTTCATTTTAAAACATGGAGAGAGAAATGTGAAAATGTTTTGGTAATTGGCAGCTTTAGTTCTTTTGACTTGCTAAAGACTTGATGCATCTCTTGGTGAAACATCACCCTGATCCCTATTTTATCACACGTTTGTGTTAAGTGGCATAACAATAGATGTACTATCGTTGGTCTGAATGCTCTGGGTTTAATGAGGGATAATGACCAAGTGCACCCACTCAGATTTCTATTTACCAGTTGTGTTGAAATTATACATCTGTGTATGTTATGTGAGGATAGGATCATCTTATGTTATCTGCCGCATATTCAAATAAATACATTCAGAATCTGGCTTCTAATTAAAGATATATTATTTTGGCAAGGTACTAGAGTTTCCAGATATTTGTTGAAACATGTTCAACCAGGAACTAGTAGTTAAGAACAATAAAGAAGAAAAGTGAGCAGAAAGAAGAGGAAGGACAATATTTTGTACTGCAACTTTTTGTAAACCAGTAATGATGTTAGTATCTATATAAACCAATGTGGAAAATACAACCATAAAAATTGTCAGTCAGATTACATGATTTCGTCATGTTGTGATTTGATAAATGTACTTAAGCTTATACATTTTAAAAAAAATAAGTTATTTTATGTCATGTGACTTATCAACATACTAGATGAGATACATGTTAACACCTGCCATCAACTAATTCCACAGAACCAGGTTTATGTTCCTCCTTCTGACCTGACAACTTGCTGTGGTCAATGCAAGAATGTATCCTGTCTGGTTAACTTTGAGAACAGAACTACTACCCTGCAGAAGGTAAATACTAAAGACAAAATTGAAATTAAACAGAAGTCAACATTTCCCATTTTCAATCCTTACTCAAGATTGTCAATGCTAGGATGGATTAAAACCTGAAACATTGACTTCTGTGTTTTCATAGATGTTGGCTGTTTGGCTAAGTATTTACAGATTTTTCTGTTTTAATTACCAAATTTTCATTATCTGTTGTGCCAGAAAGTATGTTGCTTTTAGCCATTTACATTACATAGCTGTTTCCATGTATGGGCCAGGAACTGGATTTAACACAATTTAATTCAGGTGTTTGATGCATGTTCTTTGGGAAACTTCGAAGTGTCTTCCAACAAGACTAAGATTGGAAAATACATCATGCAGGTACTTGAGTGTTAATTTGTACATTACAACACACATTGGGCACATTGCAGTTTATCACCCAAATGCCTTGCTCTGCTTTTCCATACTATCTTATAACTGCAATGCGATGCTTTAATAAAGAATGATAAACTCAAACTAAAAATGTTTGTAGCTTTGGAACAACTTGACAGTTGTCCAAAAAAATCTCAGGTTCAGTTCCTGGCCATACTGATCTAACTGATCTCAACTAAAACAATTGCAGAAACATTGTAATGGGCCTCTGCATACCTATATCCAGCCATCTCTGCTGGAAATGTATTTGTACAGATGCAAGGTGAGGACAGAGTTGAGCTTATATTTTCAGATATTAAATAGCCTGTCAACATCTCACTGAGGTCCAAAATCAATAATGCTCATATTCACTGAAGTATGAGAGAGGAGTCATGGAAATGTACTAACAATCTGCACCTTCATCTTTTCCCTCCCCTGTCTGATATCACTAAAGTTAATTCCAGTGATTCAGTTCTGACAAATTAAGGCCACATAATTCACCAGAGAAGGGATTAAATCTGAGGCCTTTTGCTTAGAATACACTTAGCTGTTGAGTTATCAGAAAAGACTCTGCCTCTGATTTAAAAAAAATCATTTGATACTGGTTTTGTTCATCAACTGGCATTGCTTTTGTTTAAACTTTATAAATTACTAAGTTACTTTCTGACTTTAAAGGACACATTCCTTTGGAATAAGTTTTTTTGTCCAGAGTTTGTTCCATTTTTATAGCAACTGCTGTTACACTAAGAGATAATTCATGGATATTTTGATGAAAATTTGTAGAATCATAGAATCCCTACAGTGTGGAAGTGGGCCATTCAGCCCATCAAGACTATACCGACTCTCAGAAGAGCATCCCATACAGGCCCAACCCTCAAACCCTATTCTTGTAACCCTGCATGGCCAATCCACCTAATCTGCACATCTTTGGACTGTGGGAGGAAACCCACGCAGACATGGGGCAAACTCCATGCAGACAGCCACCCAAGCGTCAAAATAAACCCAGGCCATTGGCACTGTGAGGCAGCAGTGCTAACCACTGAGCCACCGTGCTGCCATAAAATGGGAATAACTACTTTTTACATTGAGAATATTTTTCTTGTACCGCTGAACTAATGGCTTGCTGTACTCGGGTGCAAAAGCCTTAAGATGATTCCAAAAATGAAAGTTGGTCAATTCTAAAACAAAAATAATAAAGTCCAAATGTATATTTTATAAGCAAAATTTCTCAAGGCATCCTGATGTTTTCTTGAAATATTATCTTCCTTTCATATAATGTTACTGATAAGATTTTTCAGTGACAGGAAAGTTTATGCTGTTGTTGTATGCAATTTTTATAAAAAAAATATTTTGCCCCATTCCAACTTTTTTTCTTCTTCTAATAGCCAGGAACATCTTGGATGTCCAACTGTGTCAGGCATGATTGCATGGACACAGTTTCGGGACCTGTCATGATCACCTCAAATATTAGCTGTCCTCCTTTCAACGAATCTGTATGCTTAAAGGTCAGTGCATCACATATTGACATGCTGTAACATGGTTTAAATGAGAATTTATTAAAAGTTATTTCACGCTAAGAAGCATTGTGATGAGAAGTAAATTGCATATACAAGTAAAGTCACTTTAGGATACTTCCAAATTGGACTAATTTATCCTTTTAAATAAGTTACGAAATTGCACATGAAAGCAAAGTCTGAAGACTCTGACTTGGTTGTTACAAAATTTCTTGACACCACCCTGGGTAAACGGCTCTTTGACGTGATATTTTTATTTTGTTTCTCTTCAATTTCTTTAATTTAATATGGCTTGGCAGAGATTGATTATTAATTATATATGTGTGCCTGCTATTTTCTGCTTCAGGGCACAGGATGCTAATAAAGCATTAATATCACTACATGTTATTTTAAATAACTGTTTTGTTGAAATGGTCCAGTGTCACAGCTTGGTGTAAACCATTAATAGAAAAATTCATAAAGTAAGTTTACTTTCTGTAGTCCCAACATAACCTGACATTAATGAATCTGACAGTGGTTGGTCTCAAATGGAAATGAGATGTTCACCTGGCATCCCTCAAGGCCATAAATTAATGCACCATATGCAGAAACCAAATAAACAAAGCGCAGAAATTAATGGGTTCAAGGTTTGTGGTGTGCTGTTTCTAGAAAATCATAGAAAAAAATTCTTAAAATTCTACAGAATAAAAAGAGATCATTCAGACCATCACAATTGTGATGGCTCTTTGAAAAGACTGTCCAATTTTGCTCTGGCCCTCTAGCTGTTTCCTAAAGATGGGGACCAATGGCCTGGTGGATTTTTTTTTCACTTTTCTATTCATCCAGAGACTCACATAATGTTCCAGGAACTTGGATTCAAATCCCACCATGGCAGACTGTAGAATTTAAATAAAATCTGGAATTAAGTGTCTAATGATTGCCATGTCGATTGGCAGGAAAAAGGAAACACATCTTATTCATTAATGTTCTGTAAGGAAGGAAATCCATCATCTGGCCTGTGTGTGACTCCAGACTCACAGCAATGTGGTGGCTTTTAACAATCACTTAACAATTAGGAGTGTGAAGTGGATGACCCAGCTATTGATACCCACATCTTGTAAATGAATTTTAAAAAGTCTCTTAATGATATTTTAAATTGCATTTTAAAATGCCTATGGAATCTGATTCCATAACCCTTGAAAGTAGTGATTTCCCAGGTCTTAAGAAATATCATGTAATCACTCAAACTTTTCATCTCCTCTCAAGTTCTTTTGTCAACCATTTCAAATTTATGTCTTCTGATATCCTGACCCACTTATCAGAGGAAATATATTAATTTGGGAGGAATGATCAAAATGCCTCATTATTTTGAGTATACCTAGTAGGTCTGTCCATCACCTTCACTGCTGTAATAAAAGTCCAACTTTACAAATATCACCACATAACTGAACTTTGTTATCCTTGGTAGCATCCTGGTAAAAATCCAAAGCACCGAATCTGAGTCCTTGATATCTTTCTAAATGTGTAGTCGTCAGAACTGTACACAATACATCAGAGGCGACCTAATCAGACATTTGTAAAAATGTATAGTGCCTTCCTTGTTTTGTCTTCACTGTTTTTATTTGTAAAGCCAATGATCTCTCATACTTTCTGAACCATCTTCTCAACTAAGATATACAAAATCCATGGCAAGTGAATTTAAATTTTATATTATAATCATGTCTTTGGGATATGCTTTTATGTGGCACACAGATGTAAAAGCTTGAGCCTTCAAGTTTGGTAACAAATCTCAAACACTTAAGTTTGTTTGTGTGCATTCTAATAATGGTGACGTTATTTTGAATAATTCATGTTAAGTGGCTTTTTTAATGCACATCATCAAACTTCAAGGATTCACAGACCTTCTGGATTCATTTGATTTCTTTCTCCCAGTGCATAAATATGGATTTGATTTCAATGTCCACAATCCAGCTTTTGTCATCAATAGTCTTAACTGACATTTTTCTTTTACAGACTGGAGGATCTGTTATAGTTTACATGGATGGTTGCTGTAAAAGCTGTGAGTATGTGTTTAAATGGTATTTCAGATTTCACTGGTCAGCACCAAATTAAATAGTCCTTTACTGTAAAGAAACAGTCAACAGTGCCTGCAAAATTTTGGTGTTCTTGAAGTAAATTATCATTCTTGGCACTCCCATTTTAAGGTTCATCTGTTTTAATATGAATGTTTGAACTTGGGAGTGCTGACAGTCCGTTTGCATTGTGTTTCAGATTAGTTTTTTTTAGGTTATGATGATAAATAACAACAGTAACCCACTATGATAACCTTATTACCCGGACACAAAAGATGAGCCACTGACAACATGCAATGAAGAAATGTTTCAACATGACGCATGGGGTGTATAACAGACATTTTGGATAGGTCGCCCAGTGGAGAGCTAGTACAATTTTATTTCAGACTGGTGGATGTGGAAAGACAAAGACAGAGTGAGCCTGGCATTGAGATGGAGGATCAACCATGATCACATTGAATAGTGGAGTAGACTCGATGGGCTGAATGTCCTACTCCTGCTCCTATTATGTTATATGCTTCTTTGCAGAAACTAGCGAACTGAAGACAGATCTCCAGGTGAGACCTCAGATAGGAGCGAAGGTCTTGCCTTGAGCCAATTACTGACTCAACAGCTATAAAATTGGCTTGGCACATCCAGGCCAAATGGAGCTTAGCTCATCTCATCTGTTGAGCCAGCCTGTGTTGTTAAAAATTTGCAGAGTAATTGGCATTATACATAGTGTAATGGAAAGGATAGCCTCATCAACAGGGTTTAAAATGCTGCACTGAATTGTTTGAAAGAAAGTAATAAGGCACCCTTTCAAATAGTTTTATGCTTCAACAGAAGAAATTGTTAAAAATATTCAATCTTTTATAGTTGAAGACTATTCACCTGAAGTTGGAAGGTTTTAAAATGGACACACTGAACGTTTTTGTGTTAATAATTTTGTGCAGGTAAAGGAGATGTGAAATCATGTCAGAAAGTGGTTGTGCGAATGACCATACGAAAGAATGACTGCAGAAGTAATAGGCCTGTAAGTAACAAATGAAATGATAGAAAGTATGCTTCTTTTGCATGATCTGCATTCTCCTCCCCACTAAATACCATTCAAACTTTACACCACACTTTACAATACACTTTTTAAAAGATGGGTATTGTGGGAGTCCAGTAAAGTTTGAGATAATCTGTACAGTTTCAAAACATAAATATGTCCATTGATTTTTCTGGAAAACAAAGTACAGAAAATTCCTTTTGTGCATTAACTCTTTGTAATCTTGAATCAAACAAAACCAGCAGAGGCACAATTGCTTACCATTCAAAAGCAATGTGATAAATTTATTAATAAATTGAAAGGATGAAGAGGTACAGCGGTAATGTCACTGGACTAATAATCCAGTGGTTCCAGCTACTTCTGGGGGCAGTGGTTCAAATCCCAGCATGGCAAAGGATGAAATTTGAATTCATTTGATAAAACCTTGAATTTGAAAACTAGTTTAATATGACCATTATTGTAATTACTTCTGATTAACTAATTTAGGAAAGGAAATCTGCTGCCTTTTACTGATGTGGCTTACATCTGACTCATGACTGACAGCAATGTGTGTGACTCTTTAGTGGATGTGTCACTCAGCATCAACATAGCTGCTGACTGTGATCTGCTCAATCCTGCTGACCCTGCAAAGTCCTCCTTACTAACTTCCGGGAGCTTGTTCCAAACTCTGGAAAGCTCTTCCACAGACTGGTCAAGCAACAGCCTGACATTGTCTGTGAGGTATAACTGAATGAGTGTGGCTAATTCCTAGATTCTACCATCACCAACCCTGGGTATATCTTGTCCCACTGGTAGGTCAGACTCAGCTGAGTTGGCAGCATGGTGGTATACACTCCAGGAGGAAGATGTCCTAAAAGTCCACAATTTTGCAACATTGTTTCAGGTCCCCATGAAGTTTCATGGCGTCAGGATAAACATGGGCAAGACCTCCAGCTGGTACACCCTCCACACCTCCCCCACTCCCTCGGTTGATGAATCAGCATACTTCATGTTGAATACCAATTTGAGGAATCACTGAGGGTGATAAGGGTACAGAATGTATTCTGGGTGGGTAACTTTAGTGTCCATAACCAAGACTGAAATACGAGAGTCATAAAATATGATAGTAATATCAGGTTGGGTGATGTGTTGTTACTGCAGCATGTAGGAGCTACTGGAGACCAAGGTGATCCAGAGTGCACACATCTTAGTAAATGTTTGAAACTCTAGAAACAATGCACCATGTTAGGGACAGGGAAAGCTACTTGGAATCTTTGCTTCAAGGCTGATCACTCCCCTCAGTGTTGATAATTCAAATTCGATCTGTGTCCAGGGTTGGAAAGCATGACTACAGGTGTGGCAGGTATGAGGGGCCTGGGGGTGTGCATAAAAGAGCCTTGACCCCTGCAATTTTCCAACAGTTAGGATGTTCTTTTAAGCTTTGTAGATAGGAATGGAGATGGCAACGATAATCAGTGACCTGATCATGGCACCGTGGTATAGGGATTTGTTCATGTAGGGGAGGAAATAGGAACGTAATTGTTCCAGAGGACAATATAATTATGGCTATAGACACTGCTTTTTGCAGTTGTAAGCACGAGTCCTGAAGACACATATTGCCTGCCCAGTGCTGGGGATAAGGACATTTCATCATTAGTGGAGAAGAACTTGGGGTGGAAGGGGAGGGATCCAATTGCCATTGTCTACATTGGTACCAGCACATGGATAGGACTAGAAAGGAGCTTTTGCTGACAGAATCTGATTGGTTAGGAGCTAAATTAAAATATAGAATCTCAGTTTGCTACCTTAGCTGAGAGCAAACTAACATGGAGTAAATAAAGTGAATGAGTTAGAAGCATAGCCCCAGTATTCTGGATTGATTTTTGTTCATGGGCACTGGCATCAGTATTGGTGTAAAATATTCTGGTAGATCAACAAACCTGGAAAAGTTATCTGCCAGGATGCTTTGCCCTGGTGGTGATGCTACTTTAATTGTAATAATTCTAGTGGCTCAGTTACTAAGGGAACTAAAATAAGGCAAGCCATACGGCAGCTTTAATTATGGGTCTATACTAGGATACTATACTATCTATACTAGGATAACAAAGAGCAACTATGATTGACTTTAATGTTTCTGGCTAATTTAGTCTGATTTGGGTGGAGATGGAGTCAGTAAACTCTTACGACTTATCCAGAGATCAGTATTTAATCATTAAATGGCATGACTATGTGCAAACACCATCAAAAATGATACAAGAATAATGTACATTTGCTGAGGTATTAGGATGGCTGATTCTATAGATCCATAGTTCTACACAAATAGGCATTTTCAGTAAACAGAAAATTAGAAGGGACAGGAGAAATTACCAGAAAGTTTTTCTGTATTGATTAAAATTATCAATCTGTTTTCCAGGTGAACATAGTCTCATGTGATGGAAAATGTCCCTCTGCTAGTATTTACAATTACAGCATTAACTCACATGCCAGATTTTGTAAGTGCTGCCGGGAAATTGGCCTACAAAAACGCACGGTACAGCTTTACTGTAGCAGCAACTCTACTTGGGTCAGTTACTCCATTCAAGAACCCACAGACTGTTTGTGCCAGTGGTCCTAGAGACTAAATGAAACTGCATACCTGTAATTTTAACAAATATTTGTGATGATCTGTAGTTTGGTACCTTGTGCAAACTACATGTACTCCAGTTAACCCAGTCTGCACTTGAAAATCTTCATCTTTATTTTGTTTTAATTTTACTCCATTTTCTATGGATTCTTTGTTTCAGTCCTTCACTATTCTCTTCTCAGCTGCCTGGAATAGTTCATTAACTGCACACACATAATAATAAATCTGTATCTTTTACTCACATAAACTTGCCAAAGGAATCAAGCTACTTGGAGCCTAAGTTGTGCAGGTTACCATTCCTCCAGTTGTTTCTGCCTTTACAAGATTGTTTCTCTACAAGTAAACTAAAAACAGTTTATTTGCTCTGAGGTGTTTGACATTAGCACTAGATATTCAAATAGAAAATGTTCAATTCACTGGCAGAAACATCCCTCACTTAAATAAGCACAAACTTCACACAAGTACATTTTATTAAAAGAAAATCTTTTACAAATCATAACCACATCATTTCCTAAACTAAAGATGGAAACATGGGCATCTATATCAGATGAAGTTTGTTCTGTACAGAACTGTTGGCTAGACATACCAATACATTTATTAAAATATAATGAATTTTGTACTTTTATTCCCAATGGTTTTGTACTGTTTAGGGCAGTTACTGTGATGTTTACCTCTAAATGTTTTCGTGTTCATGATTCTTTCAGAATTATATATAAATTAAATTCGATCAAGGAGAATTAATGTAATAGAAAATGATCAAAATAGTTTTTCAGTAAAGCTACCTGTTACATAGAAGGTAGTCTGTTCATATACAAAACCCAAACAATCAGTTGTCTATTTCTTTGCACTTTATTTAAACATTAAAACAAATAAAACCAAATTAAATTTTTGTATTTGTGTGTATCTGAAATTTAACCCAAATCTATTCTATTTAACATGAGAGATTATGTTCTCTATATATAGCCTGGCGCTTTGGAATTATAAACCAACTATGCTATTTTCTAACAGCTATGAACTCTGCTGATTCTGCTATTTCTACTGATAAAGATCAAAAATGAATGGAGAAACAATTATGATCAGCATATGTTATTTTTAAAACGTACTGGGTGCATGTATGTTTCTGCTTTGAAAATTTTGCTCTATTATAAATAATTGAGGTCCAATGCAAAAAAACCCTCTATCTCCTACAAAAACATTCATTTTGGAAGTCTTATAGCCACTGAGAAAGTCTCCCAGTTTACTTATGTTGATACTTCTCTTGTGTCTGTCCTGTGCCTAATTTTAAAATCCATCTTATTATCATATTCAGCTTTACTACCATTTAACCACGAATGTAACTAATGCATTGATTTTATTTGTACTGCACCTTGACTGCATCAGATAACTGTACTCAGATATAAGGTTTTCCCCTGTATTTTCAACTATTAGAAAAATGTTGAATGGGCTGGAGAAATGTGTAAAGCTATGGCTTCATATGCCATCATAATATATAATGAAGTGATTCTAAAAATGTGGCTATTGAAGCAAAGCTAGTAAAGAACATATTTTCCAGGAATATCTCTTGTTGCTGAAATGATATATGCAGGCTGGAATACAACATATTGATTGGGCAAAAGTGCTGCAAACCTGTACACTTCAACATGCCTTAGAATATAAACAGAAGACTTTAATCTCTGAGCTCTACTGGCAGAAGAGTTACTCGATTGGATTGCACACCTGTGATTTACTTCCATTGTTATGTTGTCTATAAATATATTTAATTTCACAGTTCCTTAGTCTTTCGCATATACAGGTAATGTAAAATTTTAATGTATCATTTCTTGCAGGCAAATACAACCACAGGTAATGGCAAGAGTCCATTCTTCTTGTATTGCTCTAGGTAGTGGATGTGAGTCAGTGCTGCATCAGATAACACACAGACTCAGTTACACTCATAATAAAAGGGAAGAAAATGCATTATTAAGGATTTGCTTTTAAACTTTTGTGACTAAAGTGCGTTGATTTTAAATCTCTAATGTGTTGGAGTTTACAGGTTGACAAAGTCTGTGTTGAGATGAGCTGTTTCTTACTTAAAAATAAAAAAAAATGTCAGTAGAGCACAAATTTAACCCAGGATAGTGAAGGATAAGACCCAGATGGCCCAAAAGGTTGACATCGGAAGCAACCTTTATCCATTTATCTTAAACAAATCCCTCCTGTCATCTTCTGATCTATCCTTTCTCCTTTCAGTTCAAAGCAGCCCAGGCCCCAGGATTGCCTTTTTACTGCCTGTTTGAGAAAAATAATTAAATTAGAGGGAAATGAGCGCTTGTCCTTGGTGACCATTTTAGCTTTAAAGTATTTTGAAGTCAAGTGGGTCTCATTAGTGGATTCTTTTATCCAATGCCTCATATGAGAAATAAAGACAGTCAAAGAACATGTAAAGTGAAAGGATGTAGACATCTGGGCAAACCTAGCCAACCGGACCAAGCAATCTCAGAGAGACCACTTATATTTAACTCTGTCAAATAAAAGTTTATATTGTTGCATAGATAAATAAATGATAAGCAAGATGATCAAAATCAAGATGAGGTACAGTAAATTTGTATCAATAATAATGACAACAACAAAGGCAATCTCTACACTATGCAAACAGGAGTTATGCATTACTTAACAGAAGCAATAGCGTATTGCTATTGTGCATACATAATCCATATGATTTTTTTGCAGTTTCATTAGTAGCAAACAACTTTGCAACATCAACTTAGATAGAACTACATGAAATATAAAGCACAGAAACAGCGTTTAACCCCAGTGACTCCATGCTGATGTTTCTGCTCCATTTAACCTCCTCCATTCCTCCTTCATTTGACTTTCAGCAAAACCTTATTTGCTTCTCATGAAATGTATCTATACTACTTGCTTCAACTGATTGTTACAGTAGCTTGTTCTACACTCCTGTCATTCTCTGGGCTCAAACATTTGTTCTGAATTTTTTTGATTCTTCAGTGACTATTTCGTATTGATGGCTTTTTGTTTTGCTATTCCCATGAACTGAAAGCACTCTCTTGTGTCTGCTCCATTATAAGCTTAAATAATTTTAGAGACACCTATTAAGTCATGTCTCAGCCTTCACTTTCCAAAAGTAAAAGGACACAGCCTCTTCATCCTTGTCAATTGTATGTGCTCACAGGATATCCTTGCTAGACTATTTTTTTAAATTCTCCAATTTCCGATTGGGCAACCAGAATTGTGTTGGTACAAGCTTTGCAAGCTTCTCTATTTTTCAATTGTATCTCCCTGAAATAAACTAACTTTTCTCTTATTAATGGCCCATATGACAACTTTTAATGATTTGTGTATTGTACTCCTGAGTTCTGTTTGTTCCTCTGCTTTCTTTTACTTCATTCATGGGTCGTGGGCCAACCAACATTTCCCTTGAGAAGCTCCCTTCTTGAACTTCTGCCATCCATTTGATGTAGTTAGACACACAATTCCATTAAGGAGGGAGTTCTTTTTAAGTCCCGTGCCTTGTTTCAAGGAGACACATGTGCCATCTCCCAATCATCAGCCCACAAATAAAGCCAGAATGTAATTGATGCCATTTTCTCTAGATTAAAGCAGTTTATATCCTTCCCCCGTGGTAGGATTCAAGCAGCTCAGGTAATGGGATTCACCAACACCTCTACACAAACACCATGTTCCGGATGCTATACGCTGCACTCACATTGCTTGACAGTGCCCTATCACAAACCTTCACAGTTCAACAGTAGAAAAGATTTCCACTCCACCAATGACCAGCTTATTTGTGACCATCTATGTCAGATTCTGGAGGTGTGCATCAGATATCCTGGAGCTGTCGTGACTTTTACATACTAGAGAACTCAGACATCTCTGCCTTCTTCTAAGTCCTCTGACCATACAGGCATGGCTGCTGGGAGACCAATGATATCCTTACAACCATGGCTGATGACCATGTTGTAACCGTACATAACTCCCAGACTGATGAAGTATGGAGATACATGCTGTCTCTGCTATGCACTGTAAACATAGGAGGCCAAAAGAACCTAATTGAAACTGGTTTCCAGGATGAGTAAACTGGGTCTGGCCCTCCTTTAAAATTTTTAATTCTTGTGGTTATATGACAAGCAGTATCTGGTCAGTCCACTGTACATGTGGACTTGATTATTTCTGCAATCCTTGAACATTTCTGTTGCTCAATAAATTTTCACACGGGTGTAGGCATATTATCTTCAGCTGATCCTACCTTAAAAGTAGTTGTATATTCTAGATCCTCCTCATTATTTGGGAGAAAGCAGGCAGTGATTCAGGGTAGTAGCATTGCTTTGCTACAAGGTTAAGTTGGTTTTAAGTCTTCAGTCAGCAAATGGTATTTGAGTGTTGTGCAGTTCTGATTCTCAATGAAAGTAGCAGATTGGGAGCAATCATGAGGCACCTCTCTTTCACCCTTCCATAATCAGTTGGCCTTCAACATTTCAGTTGAGTTGACTGCCAATAGCCTGGAGTATCTGACAGCATTTAACCTGAGAAAGGCAGTACTTTGGGAATGTCAGCACCATTAGGCATCACTGAAAAACACACTGCTGAGAAATGGGAAAATCCAGCCCTTTGGCTTTATTATCAGCAGTACATGGCTATGTGCACTATAGATTGACTTCTTTAAGATGAGTATCACAATTTTTGTTAGCATCTGTTTCTTTTTGTGTATATTACTTCACATGCAATTTGGATGATATTGTTCTTAACTTGCAATTCCATTTCTTCTAAGCATTCCTGACTGTAATTGTTATTTCACTTGCAGCTGCCAAAAGTAGGTACCAGTGGCAGTGCAGATTTGGAAGAGGGTGAGCAACTGTCAGGGCAGGATGGATACAAAACACAAGTCATGAATTATGCACATACAACTAGCTTTAGAACTTATGATTCATTATGAAGTTCTCCTTCTCGGCTTGAAAGAAGTCATCTCTGCTTGATGTAAGGCAAAGGAGATTGCTACAAAAGTTTGCCAAATCTTGGAGCCAGGCCTATGAACAGTTCACAGCAATTCTGAAGGGTCTGAAGGGCATTCCAGAATCCAGCTATATAAAATTTTCAAGTTACTACCAGTGGAAAAAAACCAAAGTAATCAATTGGTTATCCACAAATGTAGCAAAGGGGTGATTGAAATATTGTTTGCAAAATAACATTGCACTGATT